TGGGGGTGGGGGTGGGTTTTCTCCATTCCTGGACCCCGAAAACCCACCCCCACCCCCAGTCCCGACTCTTGGAATCGCGGGTTCGGGGATGGAGTCGGGACTGGGGGTGGGGTGGGTTTTTTGACACTTCTCAGTGTCAGGTGGTTGTGGTGGTGGTGTGTGGTTTAGGAAGAGGAGGAGGGAGAGGAAGGAGGGGGGAAGGGAGGAGGGTTTAGGAGGGAGGAGGGAGGAGGAGGAGGTAGGAGGAGAGGATGGCATGGGTAAGAAGGATGGCGGTGAGGAGGAGGAGGAGGAGGAGGAGGAGGAGGAGGAGGAAGAGGAACCTTTTGTGTTGGGGACCCCTATGGCCAGTCCCGAGACCACGAACATACACCCCAACAGCGGAGCACCGCCACCCCGGTCTGAGCACCGAAGCCCCCAGGACGGCATGGCCACATTCCGATGATACATGGCGCACCTCCGCAACGACGGGCATGCTACTCTCCTCCCTCACAGTCCTCTCAGCAGGCAGCCAGCAGGCGCACCGCCACGCTCGCTCGCGGGCCGCGGACGCGACGGGCCTGCCTCACCCCTGAAGGCACCCGAATGCAGGCATTCGGGTACCGACGACCTGGAGCCCATCATGCTCTTCAAGATCGTCGGCATTTTCACGACTCAACTGCAGTACGCCGCCAAATACGGAGAACGACACGGAGCGCGATCATCTGCTGCAGTTCGAGGGTCTTCATCGTCGATTCCTGCTTCATGACTTGCGCGCGCTCCCAAAGGCGCATCGGCACATTCCGCCACAATCCACGCCATCCCGCGAACATCAGCTGCATGTCACGCCCGCGCTGTCGCAATTCCAGCACGCTCTTCAAAGTCTGCGCTGCGGACTCCTGGAGATCGTCGCTCCTGAGGACCTGCCCCGCGGACTCACCCGTCATCTTCTCCTTCATCTTTTGCTCGTCGAACGTCCCGTTGACACTCACGTCGCAGCCGTCGGACCCATCGCTCTCCGTGGTGCCGTCGGCGAACTCCTCAAGCAGCTCGTCTGAGCCATCCGCGACCCTGACCTTCATGCCGACGCCCTCGGATGCACGTTCGACCACCTGGGATTCCACAGCCAGAATGTGCACGTTGTCGATGTCGTCGGCCCACCGCGTAGCCAGGACGCCTGTGTCGTGGATCCCGAGGGCCTGGAGAGAGCTGCCCTCCAAAGCACCGGCACGACCCAGCACTCCGTCACATCCAGCCTCGCGGCAAGCATGACCACCTTGAGCACGCCCGGCTTCGCGACCATCTCCATGCCTGGGAAGGCAATATTCTATGCACCCATCTTCTTCGCAACCGGCTTTACGAGCTGCTGGGTCAGCGGCGCGATCAGCAGCATCGGCACGCCCGTTCCCACCGCCAGCTTCATGCCCTTCATCACGCCCATCTTCGCGACCAGTTTCACGAGCAGCATGGTCTGTGGCACGACCAGCGGCAAGGGACGGGAAGGGCGGGACCGCGGGCAGCGCCGCCACGTCGGGCACCTCCTCGCTCTCGTTCCCCAGCGGCACCACCGAGCTCTTCTCGGCCTTCACGGCGTCCGCATTGCCGATCTTCATCTGCCCGGCCTGGATCTCGCAACCGGTGTTGGCTGATTCGAACGCGAAGTCGAGCTGCTGCTGCGCCTCGTCGCCCTCGTCCTCTCCACTGGAGAGCCTGGCCGCCCGCGGAACCAGGCACCGCAAGCCGAGGCGGAACCAGGCACCGCAGAAACTCTTCGATGATGATCAGGAGGGAAAGAAACACACAGATACAATTAATCGTCGAGTCCCAGGAAAATATGGGAAAATATGGGAATTGGGCGGGAAGACAAAAACCCAGAGGATATGGGAAAATATGGGGAATCCTTTTATTTGTGTGTATTTGTTTGTGTGTCCCAGGGCCCCTTCAGAGGACCTCCTCGTCAACCACGCCGCCGGAGCGCACGTGGACTGCGGCCTCGACGTTCTCTCGCCGACGGCCTCCAGCAGCGCGGCCTGCCTGCCCTTGGCCGCGCCACCTGCCGCTCCTCCGCCGCGTCGCGCCTGGGGCGCCAGCCTCAGCCGCCTCGCCGCAGCCGCGGGCGGCACCGCCGGCGCCCAGGCGCTCGCAGCACGAGCGCGCCTCGCAGCACGAGCCCGCTCGTGGCTGCCACGCCGATCGCCGCAGCGCCTCCGCCCCCGCCCCGCCTGGACGCCTTGAGCCATGCTGGCCTGAGCCAAGATGGCTTCGAGGAGGAGGAGGAGGAGGAGGAGGAGGAGGAGGAGGAGGAGGAGGAGGAGGAGGAGGAGCAAGTCAGGGGCAGGAGGAGGAGGAGGAGGCAGGGAGGAGGAGGAGGAGGAGGGGAGGTGTGAGGAGGAGGAGGAGTGGGAGGAGTGGGAGGGTGATAATGATAGCGAGGAGGAGGAGGAGGAGGAGGAGGAGGAGGAGGAACAAGTCAAGGGCATCGCCAGGGGGGAATAGGCTGAGGGGGGAAGGTTATCGACCCGCAGTCGCCCATGGATCGCCTATGGGGGCCCGATGGCCTTCCCCCGCCCAGGAACGCGTGGATTCGCTGTCGGGGGCCCATCTCCGATCGATCGGCGATGTTTCGCCGATTCCAGCTCGACGTTTACCCCCCTGAGCCGGGCCCCCCCGTAGCGTCCCCCACCAGCAAAGAGGAGCCAGGAGGAAGAAGGGGAAGAGAAGGATGATGATGCTGATGATGCTGCTGCTGATGATGATGATGATGATGCTGGTGATGATGATGATGATGATGATGATGATGATGGTGGTGGTGGTGATGATGCTGATGATGATGATGGTGGTGATGATGCTGATGATGATTATGATGATGATGATGATGATGATGATGATGATGATGATGATGATGATGATGATGATGATGATGATGATGATGATGATGATGATGATGATGGCTCGAGAAGGTCCAGCCAGCGGAGGCCGACAGCACAGCGACGATCACCAAGCACGACATCGAAGACAGCATAGCGTTCATCCGAGTCGAGTCGTGCCACGACAAAAAGTTCGTCAAACTCCAGCTCTCGATGAACAACTTCAGCCTCCGCCAGGACGTCCTGGCAGCCTTTCGCTCCGAGGGGGTGGGCAAGGTGATGACAGGAGTAGCGCCCCCAGGTTGGCTCGAAGAGGAGCTCGGGACGTGGGTAGACACGCTCCGACAGAAATGAGTGAGCGGCATCCAGTCTTACCTGCGCGTGGCCAGTCTCTCCCGACCGAAGTGCACGAGCATCGCCCAGTCACGTTCGTGCGTGGCCAGCCTCTCCCGCCCAGTGAATCTACGTGCACGGTGCACTCAGGATCGGAGGTCCGCCGACATCCGAAGTTCTCCTTTTTCCTGAGACCACCGTCTCGCGCCTGCTCTCAGCCTGCCAGCACCAACGCACGCATGCGCTTGTTTGACCCCCGTTCGGCAGCCAGCCGCTCAGACGCCGCTGCTGCCACACCTGAGCCAAGCAATGAGGACGTTTCAAGCATAATGCCCGAGCTCGATCACGCCGATTTGGACGCCCAAGAGACGGAGGCCATGGATTCTCTAGGCCTCTAATCTAACTCCCTTGCGTGCTGGAAGGCCCAGGGGGGGAATTACATACACAAAGGCAGTTTTGTACGGAATTGTCCCCCTCCCCCTTTTCGATTATCGATGTCAGGACAGCCAGCTCGAGGTAAGATGATTTAAATACGTAGACCCTCGGCCGCCAGCCGAGGGCGCAGCAGGTTTTGACGCTCGTCGCAGCCCCCTACTCGCGTGGCGCGCCCCAGACAGGCGAGATAGGGCAACCGTGCCCTGCGACAGGAATATTTCTAATGCAGTTCGCTTGCACACAATCCACAGACTCAAGATGATGATGATGATGATGATGATGAGGATGATGATGATGATAATGATGATGATGATGATGATGATGATGATGATGATGATGATGATGATGATGAT